ACGGAGGAGAGGCCCTCGATTCAGATGGAAAGACACCAATGGGGAAAGAGTCTTGGTGCTGCGATGACGTACAACAAGCGTCCTTTTAACAACATCCAGGTCAAGCGCATTCAGAGTGTCCATTGCCGAATTGTGCGGTTAGGCAAGCTGCCTGTCACGGACCAGGAAAAATGCCGACTAGTCAAGTCGGGTATTTGGCCTGCTGCTTTTTACGGAGCGGAAACTACTTACCTAGGTAAGCAGTGGTACGTGACGTTGCGGGATCTGGTTGCCGCGGCACTGAACAAGTACCACAAGTGGGCCAATAGGTCTATGACCCTTTTTTTGCATGACGCGGAGTTGGACCCTTTTGTGTACCTTACGATGAACCAGATCAAGCAGGCAAGGCTTGCCTTCTTCCAGCAGGAGCAGGCAATCTCCCATGCCAACGACGTGCTTGGCGGTATGTATGAATTCCATGTTCCGTATGGACCTATCTCGGCTCTAAAATGGCATTTGCAAAGCCTTGGTTTCCACCTGCGGGAAAATGGAACACTTCAGTTGGAGGACCGGCCCGAGGTGAACATTTGGAACTCCTCGCTGGAGGATCTCCGAGACGATGTGCATTTTGCTTGGGGCAGAGTCATAATGACCAGCATGAACAAGCGAGAAGAAGTAATTTTCAGTGAAGATGTGGACTGGACCATTGTTCGCTCTGCCATTCACTCTCTGCAAGACAAGAGGACGCAACACGCGATGCGCACCATTCTGACAGGTGCCACTGCAACGGAAAAGAAGCACTTTCACGTCAACCATGGAGAGGATAAATGCTTTTGTGGTCAGGTGGACACGTTCACACACAGAGCCCTCAGCTGCCCTGGAACATGTGACTGGAGAGATGAGCACCCTTTCTTGAGGTCTATTGAAGAAGACAAGGCCGCCCTGCCTCTATGCCCAATGTTGGAAGATGGCAGACTGTTTAGAATGGCGTGCTATCATCGGCCCTCACATGAAGTCCAACCCTGGAATGACGTGACACACTACTGGGTCTATACGGACGGCTCGTTGAAAAACCCCACATGCCACCTTTCCGCTGATGCGATTGTGTTCTCTAAGGCCTTGGACGAAGGCGATCTAGGGGATGTGGTTGCGGATGCAAGCTAAGGGGCAGACAAACAATCAATCGGGCTGAGCTTGAGGCGGCTATTATTGCAGTTCAGGTCATCTGGAATGCTACCATCTTCACGGACTCACAGTATGTGATGCAGATCTGGGAGAAGGTCTGCGGAGATTTCAGGCCTTGCGATTGGACCAATGCCCCAAATGGAGACCTGGTAATTCAGCTGTGGAGGGCGCGAGGTGGACCCCAAGCGGATCGCTCGGTTGTTTTCGAAAAGATCGGAAGCCATGCTGAGCGTACAGAGGATATCTGGTTGCGGGAGGATGCTGCTTTCTACCATTATTGGGGGAACAGAAGAGCCGATCATGCTGCAAATGCAGCTGTCCAATGTGACCACCCGGAGGTCTTGAGATGGAGGGACAACGCCTGCCGACTGGTTAAGGTCAAGAAGCCCTACTATAAGGCGGTCTACGAGGCATATGCCAAACTCCAATCATGCTATGAAGCGAGCCGTGCAGCCCATGCACCTCAGCGGGTGGTGGCCAATGAGGGAGTTCCGGAGATGAGTGAGGTGCCGCCGCCACACTTTAGAGCTGTCCCGTTGAATAATGTGGAACTCTTACGGAACTGCAGTCATTGGACGCACACCTTCATGCTGGAACTTTATAGATGGATTGGATGTTTGGCCTGGCCTTCTAGCCCAGAGAACACCGGCAGGGTAGCTTGGGTTGAACTTTTGGCTTCGTTCAAGTGCTTCAGTGGGATGAATGTCCCGGTCAAGCACCCCAGCGTTGACAAGTGCTTCACCATGACTCTGATACACCCGCTGGTGCAGGACTTAACACCGCTGAATGAAGAAGTAGTCAGGTTTCAGGCAGCTATCAAGGCGTTGCAGCAGATCTTGAAACAAACTTTGATTCCAAAGGTGACATCCCATCAGCTGGCCACGGGACTTGGATACTATTTCCAAGGAGAGTTTGGAACTGTGCATGGGAGACCTTGGATACCTTGTTTTGAAAAGGCTCAAAAGTGCCTCACTCAATATCTTGGGAAGTTGGATGGCACCAGATTACACCAGCCGCTGCAAATTGATTCCGACATTGAGGTGAAGATTTCGCCTTACGATGCAATTCTCAAAGCTAGAACGCACCTGCTTGGCTTCAATGTTCTTGTGAAGAAGGGCAGGCCGCCCGAGCAGTTTGCCCCCTTCGAGGAGGCATGAAGTGGAGGAGTGACAACTTGGGTTTTCGACTACCATGTAGTTTGGGTTTGCAGGGATCTTGGTGATCCCGGGTTGTAGGCGCTCTGCCTCCCCCTTTTGTGGCGGCCTTGAATAGCTTGGCCGACCATTTTGCTGTGGAGTGGAAATGGGGAGCTCGCCTCGGGGGGTTGAGTTGCCCCGTTTTTCTGTTTGGCTGCCCCTGCTGGGGTCTGGCCTTTTGGGGGTGTTTCTCTTTGGTTGCTGGTGTTTGTCCCCCCTTCTTCCTTGTTTGGTTGGGCCCTGGGGGCTTCTCATCCCTTCGGTGGTGGGTTGCCCGGTAACGTGCGAGAGCCAACAAAGAGGCTGATTTGCTTGCGGGTATCGCTAGTGCTGCTGCCAAGAGTGCTGGCTCTTGCCCCATCACTGTTGCGGCGCCGCTTGACTCTGGATGGCATCACCATGCTGCATCCTCCCTTTCTGCACAACAGGCCTTCTGCCTGGCCGAATGCCCAACCTTTCACTCCCTTGACATTGCTGACAGCAGGCATCACTCGCCCTCCCACCGCGCCGCCTTGGAGGCATATATCGCCACTGGCGGTGAATGCCTCCGATCTGATGCGAGTGGGGTAGCTGTTCTCAAACATGTTCCCTATCGTATTGATGGGGATGACGGGCGCGGCCGTGCCTACCCTGTCACGAAAGGTGCTGCCGCACTCCCTCGCGCTGTACGTGCTGCGCTGTTCCATCGTGACCATGTGGAAATTGACATGTGTGGGGCGCACTATGCCATTTTTCAGCTCTTTGCGTCGCGGCAAAATATTATTTTGCCTCACCTTGAGGAACTTCGCGACTATCTGCGATCATGTTTTGTAGTCTCACCTGCCGGTCGTGCGGCTATGCACTTGATTAAGCTGTTACCCACCATCCTTTTGAACAGCAGCATGTGAAGATGCCAATTTTCAGCGTACCCATTCTAAGATATGTGAAGGGAACCACGCCTACTTTCTGCTCGAAGGCATTGAGGCCGCATTTATGCGGGCATTTGTTAGGGCGCTTCTGTTAAGGGCTAAGCCTGCCTCGGTTGTTTTCATTCATGATGGGCTGCTGGTTTCGCCTGAACCATCATGTGCTGACATCGATGCTTGCTTGCATGAGGCCTCTCTTGCCCTTGGCTTTGTCCCTCCTCCTGTGTTTCGTGTACGGGCCGCCCACCTTGTTCATGATTGTAGTCTCCGCCAACGTGGGACGTCTAGTCATGTCGCGGTTCAAGACCACGTTGCTCAGTTGCCACATGGGCCCAAAGTTCGTAGGCTCGCAGCCGTTGCTCCTACAGCTGAAGCATTACACGCTTTTTGGTCACGCCGTTCGGGTACTTAACAGGCAAGCAGGAGGCTTTGGCAATGTCTCAGCTTCGCGTGACATGTCTCAGAGCCGGCTCTGCTTGATCTGATCGCTCCAGTGGGGCACACATGTGGGGTCTTCCTTCTCTTTGTTCAACATTGCGTGGGTTGCCCTTGGCGCGGTACGTTTCAGTGTTAGCCCCGCTGACCTGATCGTGCTGTAGCTCAAACAAGTTATGGACCCCTGGCCCAGGCATTTGTGGAGGCACTCATTGGCTTTCTCTGTGATCGCTGATGCTTGTCGCTGAAACATTGCAAATTTTTTGGTCATGGGGCAAGCCGTATGCTCCGTTGCCCTGTCTCAACCTGGTGAGCAACTTCTAAGTGGCGGCCCCGCTGTGCCCAAATATTTCCGATGAGTCAAACATATGGGGTCCTCCCTTCGCATGGTTCAACATTGTGTGGGTTGCCCTTGGCGCGGTACGATCGTGCTGCAGCTCAAACCTAATAGGGACCCCTGGCCCGAGGGTTGTGGACGCGATCATCGGCTTCCGGTATAGTCGCGGATGTTTGTCGCTTTGCTTGCCACTTGCATGGTTAAGGCCTCCGCCAGGTCAGTCTTTGCTGGCATGTTGCGGCCATTGGCATTGGCTTCCAATTTTTATACGGCCACGTCTTCTGTGCCGCCGCTTTATTGGCTCATCATGCGCAGGCGAGTAGTCGGTCTACACCCTGATCTTGGTATTGCACGGTGCGACTCAGTGCCAGCCCCGCTGTGCCTGCGCGTACTGTGACTTCATCAATTGGGCTCCTTGTTTCAATTTACCTCGTTGCTTTCGCTGTGTGTCTGGGTTGCCCCTTTTTGCGCGGCTCGTGTCAGTGTCAGCCCCGCTGTACCTACACGAGTCGTAGCTTTTTCCATTTGGCCCCTTTTTCGTTCTGAACATATCAGACACTAGCGTTAGATCAGGGTGTTGGCCACGCGCTCGCCATGGCAGGGACTCCGTTTACGCTGGCAGAGTACGCCGCTCTCGCTATTAGTGATTGCTTGACGAAGGGATACTATGTAGTGTCCAATGCGTATGATTTGCTTCTACTCCGTTGGGGTAATCCTACTGACTGCTACACAAATGCGCTGCGCCAGTGGAACCTTCCATTTGGAGGGTGGACCGTCTTCCTGGCTCACCATCCCTACATCAAGTTTTACTCTAAGAGAGCACTCCGGCTTGATCAGCATCCGGGCTGGCTGCAAGGCTCCCCTAGGCCGCGCCAACAGGGCTTCCAAGAGCTTGACACTCAGCAGTCCAATATGGTCTTTTACGAGCCTGAGCGGGTCAATTGCTTGTATTGCCAAGCGTCCCTAGCTGCAAATTTCATTGATGCATACATGCAAGCCACTGCACTTCGGCAGGTCCGTCAGGACGCGCTCCGCCAACGTCCGCGTTTTCCAATTGATCTGCTTGAGCCCCTCGTGGTCACCGATGCTAGTTTGAAGTCCCTCGCCAGCTCCCTCGAGGCCCCAGGGTCTGCTGCCGCACAGGCTCAGGCAGGCGGATCGGAGCCTCCTGTTCAGGAAAGGCAGGTTGTCATGGCGCCTGATGAGTTGGATGACCTCGGCCTTGGCGACCAGGCCAGGCCGCTTGCTCCTGAACTGATACCTGCGGTAGATGCTCTGCCCAATCCGTCGGTACTCCAGCATCGCACAATGCAGGTTGATAGTGCCGGTTGTGCCACGCGATACTGCCAGTGGATCCACGGTACGGGCCCCGCCCAGTTTACAGTAGTTCACTGCGCAAGCCGGTAGCGTGAAGTTGACACCTGCAGCCCAGTTGCAGCGGCTCAGGCCCCCGTGACCTCTGCGGCCTTGGATCGTGCGCTGGAACAGGCACAGGCCCACGTCCCGGGTGGGGCGTGGCCAAATCAATAGCTTTTCCAATTCTTGCATTCCGTGCTTCCGGCCACCATCACTCCAGGCACCGAAGTTATGCTGGTGGTTGGGCGAGCTTTTGACCACCATGCCGTGATCCCTCGATGGATTGCTGCCGGTCATGTACGCCCGGGAGGCTCGCCGCCGCCGCTTGTCTTGTTTGTGCCCATGTGTGCGGTTTACCAGGGGGCCTCACCTACCCTGGAGCAGATCCTGCCCATTGTGTTGGAGTGCGCCCGTTGCTTGCCCTGCTCACACCTCATGCCTGTCACCGAGCATGTTATGCCTGGCCTTTTTCCTTGCCTTGCAGATTTGTGGCATGTGGCATACACTTCTCAGACCTTGGGCTCGCCCGCCTCCTTGGACACGCAACCGGGTCTGCTCTTGTTTACGGGTGAAGCGCCCCAGCCCTATTGGCCAGCTGCTGTTGTCAGCATAGGTGATCCAGAGGTCGCCGAGGGCTGGAGGGTTTCCCTTGCCAATGCTGCGCAGCGGCAGCAGGAGGGACGGACCCGTCTGCTGGCCCGGCGCGACACTGCCCCGCCTGACACACCTCAGGACCATCGCGCAGTTGCCGCCAGCCTGCTCACCCCATTCGCGGGTAGCGTCCCTGTGTCGTCTCACGACGTGCTTTGCAGTTGGTACCGGTGCGCAACAGCTCGAGCGTGTCCGCACAGCGGTCGGGCATGCTGGGCACGCAGATATCGTGCTCCAGGCCATTGAGGTTCTCGCTCCCACACGTGTCCTGTCCCTCCCGGGCTGGGGTGCCTTGGTGTGTGACACCGCCATGCTTGAGCATACGGCGTCGTTCTCTGCTCGGGGCATGCCGCCTTTGTTGGTGGCGGCTCCGCATCACCGTGACGCGCCCGACCTCGGGCCGTGGTGGCCCATTGTGCATGGACTTGGTTTGGTCCCATTGTCCCCCGATAGGGTGCCGCTGTGGTTCCTGCATCGGTCGTTGCCGACTGGGCCCACTCTGGCTTTCGTGTGCCGATGGGCTGCGGCCTCCCGGGCCTGCAGTGTGAGCACTTTCCGCTGCCTGATGAGCTGATGTGCTGTGACCCCATCATCTCGCGCACTTGGTGCTTGGCGTCGGCGTTGATCACTGGTGGACCCTCCCAGGGACCGCTGGACAATGTCGAGACCGTTATGCGCTTGGTTGACGAGGCGGCTGCTTCCCTGCCAGCTGTCCTGCAGGGTTTGCACATGCCTAGCATCCAGCACTGCCAATCAGTCCATCGTAACAGGGTTCCCACCGTTCGGCTGACAGTTGAGTTTGGCGGGGCAGGTCAAGTGTCCCCATCCGCAGAGGCCGACATTGCTTTTCTTTGCAGCGGGCCTGATGGCAGAGTGTTGCTGTTTGGTACCCTCACCTGCTGCGCATGGATGAGACAGGCCGTTTGGTTGTGGGGCGCATGGTTGGCCAGGCAGCCGAGGTTGTGGCCACTCGCACTGGCTGTGTGGGGGGGAGGCCGTGCGCGGTGTCAGGCCTTCGGGCTGTGGAGTGCGGTATGCCCGTGGCAAAGAGGTCGCCCTCGGCCTTGCGCCGGAATCGCTTCAGGCTCTTGACCTACTTGTCGACGCTAGCAACCTACCATGGCTCCCTCAGCCGGGCATCCCAAGCCCCCAAGCTCCTTCTCATGACCCCGCACAACGACACGCACGCATCGTGCTACTCTTGCAACTCCTCATGGCACGGATGCCAGTTGAGGTGCGGGCTCACGCCGCCAAGGACAAGGCCAAGGCCACGGCCGAGGCCATCGATGAGCGCTTTGACAGGTGTCTAGAGAAATTGCGGGTCATGGATGCTGACGCCAGGGCGCAGCTCCTACCACTGATCACCCCTGCCAAAGTAAGTGAGCTTAGGCGCTTGCGGCCCACCCTGTTTCATCAGTTTCTGGAGTGCACAAACACTGTCAAGGCCACGGGCATGACAGGCACTGTGTCTATTGTTGTCATCGGCAAGGACACTCGGCTCCTGTACTTTGGGGCGGAGGCTGAGGCCAGGTTCAACGTGTCCTTGACGCGTGCCAAAGCGATCACTGTGGTAGTGGCCCCGCCCAGCTCCACCGGTCCCCTAGGCATGCTCCAGACCGCCTCGGCGCGACTGTTTGGCCGGCTCTCCATGTCTGACTTGCAGCGATCTACGGACGACTCTGTGCGATGCTGCTTGGCCTTGGTAATGAAGCCGCCTGGCACGGGGCCCAGTTGGCAGGAATTGCCCCTGGCTCTTTCCTGACGTGAGCGACCATTCGATGTATGTCCTTCGTTTGGCTGGTCTGTCCCCCAGAACCGGTCGCGATCTCACGGTTTTCTGTTACCAAGAGGTCGGCGGGGATTCTGTGCTTTCCTTCAAGTCCGATCAGGGCGGGCTATTGCTTCACGCTGCCTGGAGCACGCCTGATCCTGTCGTGTGCGGAAGCATCTCTGGTACCGGTTTCTGGTATGGTCTTTTTCGGGGCGGCCACCTCGCTTGCCCACAGCGAGGATCTTCGTGAGGGCACCCCGTAGCCTGCCATCCCTGGCCTTGCTCGCAGTCCGGAATGCACGAGTGTGCGGCTTGTGGAGGCGACGCCCAGGGCGCGACCTGTGGCCGACATGCAAACCGCTGATCCGTCGCCCAAGCGGCCACGCGGCCAGCCTCCGGTGCGGGCGGCGAGTGGATGCCCCGTCTTCCCTCGTCGTCCCACCCTGCGAAATCTGAGTGGCCTTGCGTGGATGCGCCGGCCGGCCCCGTCGCCGGTTCGTATCAGTCTGAGTGGCCGTCAATCGAGCAAGGAAGGCACTCTGACACCCGTTGCAACAAGCCAGTCATCACTGTGGATGACATTGACGATCTGCCGCCTACGTGGCCTTCACAGCGGCCTGATGTGTCGGGCCTCAGTAGTTTTTTGCTGGAGCGCGTGAGTAAGTACCTGACTTTCGTTGCTAGACATGATGCTAGGACCCCTGCTACCGCTGATGGGTTTATCATGCTTAGGGATGTGTGCCGTCGGGCTTCGGTTGTTCGCGCGCTTAAGGATCTGGAACAGAGCGGGGTGCCTGCAAGTGCAGAGGTGGTAGCATCCATTGCCACGCACCTAAGTGAGACCAGCAAGGTGCGGTTTGAGATCAAGTTTTCGCCCACCCGGGGATTGCCATTGCGGGGCACAGCACTGTCCTTGACCCTTGCCGCAACCTGCCGTTGCTCCGGCATGACGAAGCCCGGCGCATCGTCACGGCCATGCACTGCACAACCTGGACAACCTGGATGGCATCCTTGCAACGGGCATCCTCCCGGGTAACCTTGTGGGAGGGGCCCGCACGCATATCCACCTCACCACTTTCTGCATGGGCACTCGTGGCTTTGCAGATGCGCGAGGCAAACGTGACGTCGCTGTGGCCGTAGACCTCATCAAATGTCTGCAGCGGGGCGTTCAGCTCTTTGTGGCTGGCGGAGAAACTCTCCTCACTAGTGGGGCCTCTTTCTCTAGTCCCGCTGGCCTCCAAGTGGTAGGCATTCACCCGGCATGCATCTCGGCAGTGTGTGATGCGGCTACGACCAAAGACATCACTGATGAAGTCACGCGTGGGAAGCCGCTGTGGAACAACACGCCTGTTAATGTCTCCGCATCTGACACCGAGCCGAGGTCCCAGGCAATGTCCGATGTCCAGGGTGGCCCGCGCCCAGCGTTTTCCTGACCCTGCTGCTAGCAAGGCGGCCAGGCACGACCCTACCCCCCGAGAACCCCTTGTTGAGGAGTCGCCGCCGGTTGCCATGGAAGTCGATCAGGGCGGATGCACATCTCAGTGCATCGCCCCGGATGAGGTTGCTGAGGCGTTGACCGAGATTCAGCTTGCGCGGCGTGGTCAGCAGGATACGGCCCCAGACACGCTGGCCTCTGATGAGGAGATTGAGCCGCACCTCGCTGAGGTGGACATGATAAGCGTGACCAGTTCTGAGTACCATGACTGCCTGCCAGACACGGCGGAAGAGGCCCGCCGGCAAGGGTATGCCATTGTCCCAGGCCTGGTGATTGCCCGGCCGGGGACGATGCAGGAGTTGAGGACGACCTCGACCCGGCGACCCTTGGTGCCTTGGATGAGCTTGCCTGGGATCTTGCCCGGATCCCGGATCGGGCACAGGCTAAAGAGGTCCTCACCCTGCCTCGACTCGGCCTCTTCGCCCAGCTTCCCACTAGCTACCCTTGGGGCGACGTTATGTTCAACACCAGCCCGGCTACTGAGGCCGGATTGCATTCAGTGCGGAATACTCTTGCCCTGCGGCGCACGGCTGCCGACGCGCCTCCGCTCGGTGTGGATGAAAAGCTCCGCTTCCTTCGAGCATGGCTGACAAGCCTAGCCACGTGCTTTGCCCGTGTGTTCGAGCCTCTGGCCAGTGGAGACGCTCCGCCTCGTTTGCAACAGCTGATGCTGGACCGCTTGGCTCAGCCTCAATTCTGGGTGGCCGCACTCACCATCGCCACGCGGCAGCATGCCCAGCTCCTGCGCCTCTCGGCCAATACGGTCGAGCTTGAGGCTGGCGCTGAATCCCTTGCCACTGGTGAGCAGGTCATTCAATGGTACGGCAGGGCCGGCCCGGGTGACTGGCCCCTGCACCGCCTCAAAGTGCATATCCCGGTTCCTGCCATGGCCTACCTTTGCGCAAATGCTCCGACATCCGCGCAAGGCGGCGGGATCGCGCTAAAAGGTGATGTGCAAACTGTGCGTGGGATGCGCTTTGTCAACGCAGGTGGCCTTCGGCCTCTGTACAAGCCTCCCTGTTTCACGGAGGTCAAGCCCTACCGTCTCCAGCTCCTCCAGCGGCTCCAAAACCGGCAAGGTCTGAGGAGTACTGCGGCCTGATTGGGCCAATGGCGTCTGGGTCTATACGCACTGATCTTTGGCTTCCCCTTCCGGCCGAAGGGCAGGCCTTCGCTGACTTCGCAAGGGAGTCCAGTGTGTCGTCCCAGCGTTGGATGTCAGCTGTGCTTGCCACTCCTCCGGTACTGGATAGGGAAGCTGCTGATGTCATCCTA